AGATGATATTGGAGAAAGACTGGAGGAGTAGAGACACCTTACAATGTAATTGTTTCTTGGAAAAATAGAAAGGAAGCCAGGCATAGTGGTGCATGCTTTTAATGTTAACACTTGGTAGGCACAGACAGGCAGATCTCTGAGTTTGAGGCCAGCTTGGTCTACAAAGTGAGTTTCTACAGCTACACAGAGAAACCTTTGTCTTGAAAAAACCAAACCAAATCAAGCCAAAAATAAACAAAAAAGAAGAAAAGAAAGCCAGACAGACAGGCAGACCACAGTATATGCAGGATATAACACCTTTGTCATTAGCTTTGAACTCTATACCTTAGTTCAAATATGCAAAACTTCGACACGTTTTCTTTTAATATTCAATAATTAAATGACATCTAACCTTCTAAAGCATGCAAGGAAATCAGGAGTCAAAGTCAGTACTGTTATATAATATGTGTGTGGTCAATATATATTATCAGCATATGTATATGTACTGTCAATATACATATATATTTGCATGTATATGAGATACAGCTATCAACAATTATAAAAAAGAGGCCATGAATTTGAAGGAGAGCAAGGAGGGAGATATGAGAGGTATTGGAGGAAGAAAAGGGAAGGGAGAAATGATGTAATGATGTTATAATTTCAAAATAATTTCCAAGCAGAACCGATGGGCAGCTTTCAGATGGTGCGGTGGTCTGTGCGACTGCATTCTGTTTGGATTACAGCACTGCCCTTCCAAAAGTGTTTACCCAGCATGTGGACTGTGGTAGCCAGATAGAAAAATGTCAATAGTGCCAGGCAGCTTTGAGCCCTTCGCAAAAGAGGGGCTTGACAAACAGCTCAGCAGTGAAGAGTATGGACTGCTCTTCCAGAGGACCTGGAATGTCCTCACAACTATCAACTCTGGTTCCAGGAATGCAGTGCCCTCTTCTGGTTTTGTGGTACACATGTGCGCACACACGCGTGCGCACACACACACACACACAATTTTTTTTAAAGAACTAGTAAAGAACTTAGAGTCAAATGGAATATTGAAAAGGTTTGATACAAAAGAAATGGATAAATTGTAGAACTACTTCATGTCTTAAATTGGTATTTTCTTCTGTTTCTCATACACATTCAGTAGATATACTTAGGACAGCAAAATGCCACCAAATATAAAAGAACTCATAGTTAATTTACATCTGTGTAAAAATTTGATAAACCAAAATCTGCATTTATTTAGACAATGGAAGTTAATTTCTGTTCATAGTCTCTTTTGCTTGGTGAGACGATTTTTCTTTTGCCATTACTTTCTACTAAAAATTTTAACCATTTTATTCTGCTTTACAGGAGGGGTTCAAAATGGGATTAACTCTTGAAGGAACGGTATTTTGTCTGGACCCGTTAGACAGCAGGTGCTGACGTCAAGAATGAATGATCCTGACTTACGCTTAGTTTGTTTATATACATATATATCATTCATTATTTCAAGACAGTTATTATATCTGTGCCAATATATTTTTGAATATCTAAATGTTTTTAAATCTATTGAAGTAAAAGCCTCCTCATTCACTGTTGATTTATCTTTCATTTTAAGTATAACTAGTGTAATGTATATTGGATTTTTATGTTCCCTTCTGTGGTATGGGTGAATCTGTAATTGAGAGAGAAGTTTACTGAGTATCTGCCTTGTCTGTGTTCTAATAATCATCACCTTGAAATTTATGCTCATTCTCAAAGGCATTAGTTCATTATTCTAGTCCCCAAGCCTACCTTGATATCTTTCAAATTTCTGAAGCAGGAGGCCAGTATTGAGCTACACATGTTCTTTTTTGATGCCAATAAACAGGCCACTAGTGATTATGGATGTCATTTTGTATCTAAAATGTTCATCTCATTACGAAAATCAAAAAGTTTAGCAATTATACTGCAAGTTTACCAAATTCTGAAATAAGAATATAAGTTCTAATAGTATTACATCAAATATATTTAAAATATTAATAATTATTATATAATAACACCAGTCATTTATGTTATATTCTAAAAATGTTTACTTTGCCTCAAAAGTAACAATTGTGGGAAAAAGTGCTTCCCTGAAAAAAGTAAAAATTGTATTTCTAGTGTGTTGTCATATTAGTATAACATTGGGCCATCATCTGCTCTGGTATTTTAAGAAATGAAGTTTTTGCTTTCTACAGATCCAGTGCCTGCCTGTTGTCTATTTTTATTTTGCCTGTGATGTGGCATTTCTCTTACCGACCTTATGTCTCTGTGCCACATTAGTTTGATACTTTAAGTTTTCTGAGAGGTATTCTATTTAATTTTAAGAATATTTAACAAATTTAATTTTTACTCTGTTAAAGTCAGAACCAGTTTCCCACAAAACTTTCTCATCAGCTTCATCTCCAATATGAGCAATAAAATTCCGTAGTGTTAATGCTGATATGCTGATGAACCCCCACCTTTGAAAACATATGTCTCCAATATATTTGCCTAAGGTGTAAAATACTAACAGTGATAGCGCAGAAAAAAATACGGTCAAATTTCTAATTTGGTTAGTCACAATATAGGAAAATAACGTCATGACAATATGGGCTTGGTTGTAGGAAATTTATCAAAACTAAGTTGATTTCTACTCATGGAGTTTTATGCAGGTATTAAAGGTACCTTTTCATTAGGAACAGAAATCAAATATGCTTATACAATACTGTATTTGGACCACCATGCTCTATGGTAGAGACGAGCCTTTCTATTTATGTTCTGTTAAACCTGACAAGTCAAACCTGAATTAGCGGGTAGTACGCATTTCATCAGGAAGTTTTTGCTGTTCTATTTGTCAGATAGTATTTTGGAATTTGTATAATGAGGATATTTAGAAGCCATATAAATGGCTTTTTTTAAAAAAACAGATAGAGTTTTTATTTTTATTGTTCTTTAAAAAGCTTTATGTACTAGGTCTATATTTAGCAAACATTAATATCAATTGTAACACGATAGAATACTAAGATGATATTTGCACACTTAAGATACGTTACTTATCAGTTTTTAATGGTGATCTGTTCTGCTAATGGCATGATCAAGTAGTACATAATTGGTCATTAATATGAACATTTACTTCACCAGTGAATTTTTATGAAGACATGATTGGAAATTGTATTTCTATGTAAACTCAATGATATGTTTGATTTTGCTGAGAATAAAAGATTTTAAATAAATTAAACTGTATGATATATTCATTTAATAGTCTAAAAATACATTTCAAAGCTGCATATTTAATTTTTGTATTTAGTAGTTGGAACTGGGGAGGAAGCGAGTTTAACTTTTGACCTATTTTTCTCAGCCCACACGTTTCAGTTTTATGAATAAATCTCACTCAGTTGTGCAAACATGGGCTTGTTGCTGATGATGGCAAAGGCCATGATGTGGTGCCTTTTACCAGAAGCATCTGATGCAATAACTGTATTACATAAATATCGCTTTTCAAAGCCAATTGCTCCTTTAGAGTGTCTTGGCTGACCGTCTTCTAAGTGGACCTGATAACAGGACTGTCGAACTATACTGTCAAGAATTTGTTGCTCTTCCCAACATAATGCTAAACATTTGAGGACACATGGGTTTCATATAAACTGTCTTTGCACACTAGATTATGCACCAATTCATTCAACAAAATGCACTTACCACCACTTTATCTTACCTATATATGTACTACAGGTAGGAAAATATCTAGGAAATTTGCCAGTGTAGTATTAAGGTGGCAGAATTTTTAACTTCCAATGAAAATAAAAGAAATATATGAATTAATAAGTGAGAAACAATGTATACATCAAAATATCACATGAACCAATCACTTCCTGGGGAACATATACATTTGATTATGTTTAAATATGAGTGTCTAGCACTGGCTACTCGTGTTAGTCAAAGAAAAATCACAGGAACCAGTTACTTCCCTGGGTGCATACACATTTGACTTTTTAAAAATATGAGTACTGGTGCCAGGTATCCCAAGAGAGGTTTATCAGGACCAACGATAAAGATTGTTCTTCTTTATTTCTAGTCTTGCCACCTAGGCTGATGACCTGATTTAGATCTTGTTGGAAGGAAGGAGCTGAGTCTCACAAGCTGTGCTCTTGACCGCTACATGTATGGTTTGCACATGTGTACTCACCCCTACCACACAGACAGATGCGCACAAAAATGTAGAGTTATTTGTTAAACAATAAAGAACATTAACCGTGGAGTGGAAATTAATACTGAGGTAGGCATTTTGACAATTTTACGATGTTTCTTTTCTAAAGGCTGCTACATTTTACTTTTTGTTATTTCCATAATTGAAAAATATTGGCTGCTAATATTTTTCTGTGCCAGTATTTCCATCTATAGCTCCAACTTCAATATTTACTAATGGTATTGGGTTTCAGCCTCTGTTAAATTACTTGTAGAGTCTCAGACTGCATTTTTAAATTTTGACAGCTAAATCTGAAACTCCACCTAAAGGACACTCTGTGCAAGCAATTAAGGAACTGCGGATATGATCAAGGGTGTATTAGCCTCCACCGTCATGATCTGTGAGAAATGTCTCCTTCCTAGATAAGTCAAGGCAAATCTATGGAGTCTTTGTTCTTGAATCCCTATATAATGTATTGAACAGGATTCAAAGCACAATTATTAACCATGGACAGTTTTCAATTATATGGTGTTATCTAGCCACTGCGATACCCTGGTTCTGAAATTCTATCTACAGAAGCATGTTAAATACATGCAAAGTGAAATTTTCTACTTAGGCAAAGACACACACTAATTCTTCATGTAAGCAACGCTTTTCAGATGACACTATTACATAGAAGTTCACTAAATATGGCTGAATGAAGGAAGATTGCCTTACCGTTTCTGTAACTTCTTTGCTGCTGAACACAGCAGGTCGTACATAAGTATTCAATGTAAGGCTTAATGATATTTTTAACATGTCCTTGCTGATGATATAGAGTCAAATTTCTTTTGCATACTTATATAAGAAGTAGCTTCGTGCCTTCTAAATAAACATTGGAGAAAATAACCATTCCTCCTTTCCAACAAAATCTTTGTAACGTTACTTTAATCTTCTCCCCACTTTTTGTGAGACAAGATCTCCCTGGCTGGCCTGAATCTCTCTCCATTGGCCAGGCTGGCCTAGAGCCCACAACAATCTATCTGCCTCCTCAGTGCTGGGATTAAAGACCTACTCCACCACTCCTCGACATCACTTTAACTTTGACTGAACCAATAATTTTCTAAAGTAAGCACTTGATAGTTGTCTGAAAGCATCTAACAACTCTCATGGAATTACAGGTCAAAGAATTCTGACCCAGTTGAGAGATGAAAACACATGGATGGTTCTTTAGCTTCAGCGATTCTGATTACGCCAAGATGAATGTTACATAACTATTCAGCTTTTCTGTACTCAACTATTTGTTGAGCCTGTATATAAAATATTGATTAAAAAAAACCCTCAAGTTTTAACTGTGCTTGAATTCTGTATCCTGGACACACATTTTTTATCCATTGGCTGTAACTTTTTTTTTTTTTTTAAAGTTTTCTTCCCTTAACTTTTCACCATTCTCTTCAGCAGCAATTTCATGAGAACAAGCTGGGGATCTTCCAGTGGACTCCACCCTCGCCTCAGCCTGGCAAGGCTTTGCTGTTCTAGTCTGTTCCAAAGGTCACTTGTTCCAGTTGAAATTGTTATCCGGATGGCCTGGAAGCCATCCAGGTTTTGGTCCTTTCCCGCGAAGAAAGCAGAGACAGATGTTTGTCACTTGGCTACATTTTGGAAAGAGAAAAAAAAAAAAAAAAAAAAAAGTGAAGGACTGTTACGACCGAATCTGCTAATGGCGGGAAGTATTGGTGCCTAATGGAACCGCTGCTGTTTTCCAGTGTTTTGTGTTTATTTTACTTTTCATACACTTTGAAAACCATTTGATTACTCTCAATGTCTAAGTAATTAAATAGTTATTGAATGGCATGTCAGAGTGTGCGCAGCGATTTTAGCAAATACTCAGCAAATTCAAATCCTCCCCACACTCCATTCGTTATTCAGCTCGCCCTCTATTTATTTTTACTAGCTGCTTTAATGGAAGATAAATTGAGTTTTACTAGACAGTGGCAGCCTGGAGGATAGGAAGTGACAGGTATGGAAGGACTAGTCATAAATCTTCTGAGATGTCAGCTTACACCTAACGGCCTGAGTGCATAAGCAGCTGACCCATTTCATTTTCCGGATAAATTGGATCATTTGGGAGCCAGGGAAGTACTGGGAAGAATAATTATAGGAAAGGATGGTTCTACAGTGACTACTCTTCAGATTCTCTGTTTCATAGAATGTCCACAGATTTTTTTCCCACGTAAGAAAAATAATTGAAAAATAAAATACCTGAAAATATTCTGGCCATGATTTCATGACTTCCACCAATTAAAAAAACACTGATCTATTCTAGGCAATATTAGAGCATAAAAATTTCTGAAACACCTATGGGGAGATGTGGAGCTAAACCTTGAAACTCTGTGCAATTCTATGTATGCTTACTGTGACTGTTGACCTTAAATATCATGTCAGGATTCAGGAAATCGTGTAATAGATTATGTTTCTTTAAATTCATGAATGTTAGCTATCTGGAGCACAATGGAGCAGAATATCCCCTTAAATACCCGTGATTAAGAAAAAAACTATTGGAAAACTGATGAATTTCCTATATTTAATTGTATCCTTTTGCAAACATTATACAGAGTGTTCTCACTCCTTCACAAACAAAGTAGAAAAGTAGAAAGACAAACAAGCAAACAAACAAACAAACAAAAGAGCCCCACAATTCTAAGTTTGTCTGCTTCTCAGTTGTCTACTTTCATGGATGGGCTGAGACGCAGACCTCAGGAAGCCCTAACACTGGTCTCTCTTCACACACATCATTCATTCATGGCTTGCTATGTCCTCAGAAACTGAAGGTGAATGATATGTGTGTTAACGAAGCTTAAAGGCTTGATATGAATTGAGCATTAGCCATTAAAAACAAAAGGATAAAACACAGTACACAAGGCAACAAGGGAATAGTAGAAACGAAGTCTCCGTGGGCAGAAATACACAAGTTCTGAGTTTGTTCCAAGTGTAGATTTTCTACAAGGCTGCTTGTGAGTCCCAGGTTTCCCAAAGGCGTGAGTGTGACTGTGGTTGTAACTGATTATGTAATAGATTATGGTTAAAGGTCTTTCTTAAAAATGGATTCAGGGGAGGAGAGGCAGGGAGGGGAGCAGAGAAAAAAAATGTAGAGCTCAATAAAAATCAATACAAAAAAAATGGATTCCAGTCAAATGTGATTTGGATAAGCTGAGTTATATGCTCTCTTGAGTAGCTGGTTTACTAAAGTTTTTTCTTGTTTCTCTTACCTACAGTGTAAGAAACTGAGGAGACGACGACCCTCCCGGCGTGTCTGTCAGCTTTCCCAAAGGCAGATCCTGCTCTGCCCATTTCCCAGCCCTGTCATCAATCTTTCCTTATTCTTAATCACGGAGCTGAAGCTACAGACAGCAGCTGGCCCTGGAGCCCTCAAGGGGCTCAAAACCACATTCTTTTACTCGAACGTCTCTACTCTACAAACCTGTAAAAAATATTTTGCAAAATAACAGGAGAAATTTAAAGTACAGTATTCTTTGCAATTTACTTTATTATATTTTTTGTAAAAGAAGCATTTAAAAATGTCCATCGGATCAAGCCATTTTAATTGAGCAGTTTCTAGACAGAAAATCAAGTCAGTGAGACCATGGAAAGCCTGTGAGTCATATGACCTAGTTGAGTTTATTTAGAACATACAAATACTCACAAAAATTTGGGCTGCATCAAAACCAGATTGTTTCCAGCAGTTTCCCAACTAAAAATTAGAAGGTTGAAGGAAAATTGGACAAATCTCAAAAAAAAATTACTTTGCATGAAAACTAGCAACAAGCAAAATGAAATAAACGGAACAACAAAAGGAAAAACTTCTACTATTTTGAATTTATGTGTTAAAAACTGTCAATAATTATTTTAGCTCATAATATTTGATACTTATTCTCATATGACACCAGTACCGTTTTGACAATTACCAGGAACCAAGAGTGTTGTGGAATGTGATTGTTCTCAGGAACAACCAAGTGGGATTAAAAATTAATCTTCTGATTCACTATTGCTTCCCGTGAGAATGAACAGTATACAGAAGAGAGTGGCCAAAATAGAATGCAAGGGGAAATTGAATTGGGTATTAAGTAATTAGAACAGATCCATTACATTGAAAGACTGCTCTGGCCAGGAAGTGTTGGCACACGCCTTTAATCCCAGCACTCGGGAGGCAGAGGCAGACATCTCAGTGAGTTCAAGGCCAGCTTGGTCTACAAAGTGAGTTCCAGGACAGCCAAGACTGTTACACAGAAATCCTGTATCAAAAGAAGGAAAGAAAGAAGAAAGAAAGAAAGAAAGAAAGAAAGGAAGGAAGGAAGGAAGGAAGGAAGGAAGGAAGGAAGGAAGAGCGACAGACAGACTATTCTGGTGCTATCCTGTCTGTTTTGAGTGGGTGCAAGATAAAATGAGGAAGCAGCTGCTGTTTTGCCTTAATTCTCATGTGTTATAACACTCCATATGCTGACAGGACAGTTGAAATGGCCATACTCTGGCTGCTCCTCCCTCTGAATGTTCCCACCAACAGGACAGCAAAGTCATTTTACTTATTAAAGAGAGAAAGTGATACACAATTGAATCTTCTAGAAACACGATTCTGAATTTGGTGAAAGTCACATCTACAGAGTTTAAGATATTTACTTTGGGAACATACTGGGAGCATAGCTCAAAATTTTCCATTCTTAAAGGTAAAAATTTTCAGAGAGAAAACATCAAATAACGAGTATATATTGGCAAGGTTCATATTCATTTTAGATTACCAAAATTTTATGACTCCTATTAGAGACTGGGATGCGTATGTGCCCAAAGGACCACTGTGAGACCAGCAGTACTTTCCACCCAGGGCTCAACACAGAATCTCCTTTGGTCTGTGGATGAACCGCAAGTACACGAGTGGCTGCTCACTGCAGCGGTATGGAAACGCTACAGTCTAACCACTAATAATGGCAACAACTTTTTCCCAGAATAAAACCATTACTCTAGAAGCTATGCCAACAGCTTGGAGTCTAAAAAAAAAAAATTATGGATCTTCAAAAGCTCCAGATCAGCATAATATGGCAGAGTTGCTTTCAGATTGCAAAAGTGTGGTTTTAAAGTAAAGAACTTGAGCAGCCTTTTGTTGTGGCCTTCATCTGTCTTGTATGTTCTCCAGGGCTGGTGGCAAACAACACCAATTGCTCGGTGAAGTGGAGCACACTGAAGTTTTGTTCTTCTGCTTAAGTGAACTTTGCTAACAGAACTGTTTATGCATGAAATACATGTCTGCATGCATAGTTCTAAACATAAAAAACACTTGAAATAATTGTCCAGATAGTGTTATAATATTCTCTTTTGCTTGTTTGTTTGCTTGCTTTGAGATAGAATGCAAAACGGAAATCTGAAGTAGGGAAATATCTGTGAAACATGTGGGACCCTCTACCATTTTGTTATTTTCCTATAAATCTAAACCTGTTCTGTAATGAACAGCTCCATTCTTCTTTTTTTCTGTTTGTTTATTTTTAACTACTACCAGTATTATGAGCTGCAGAACTCAAGTGCTTACAGGCTGAGGGGTTTTTGGAGTTATTACTATCAGTCAAAGAATTTTAGACGCATATTAGTAGGAAGACCTATTTACTATAGAAAGAGAAAGCCAGTCACACACACTCAACCAGATGGCTGGCAATGGGAAGAAAACACAACGTTGGTATTGAGTAATATGGGAAATGACATTTGATGCCTTCACTACTCACTAATTGGTGAGCTCAGAAAAAAGTACTTCATTCCTTCAATGTCCATCTCCTTTCCTGTAAAACCCAAGCAGCTTTTACTCATGTAATTAATAAGGTATGAAGCATCTATAATTAGGATACTTATTTAATGATAACTTTTATTAGAAATTCTACATATATGTGTGAATATAATAGTACTGTTATACTGTTTTAATAGCTCAATTGAGATAATAATGCTAACACATAAAAATTTAGCTTAAATGTTTATATAGCATTAAATGATTTAATACCAAGTAAATATTCTTTTGAGTTAGTTTGTAAGAGTAACTTTATTTTCCCTAGCTCTTGAAGCGTTCTGACATTTTAGTTGTCTGCTTTTTCTATAGTATATCTTTAAGGAAAAGAGGTGGATACCCAAAACTAAGCAAATCATCAGAAGATCTACACCACTGGAAACATTAATACTTGTTCCAGAAAGGGTCTATCCTGCCATCAAAGCCAACAGAATGGCTTTTGAAAGGAATCTGGGTCTGCCAGAAATCATTGTGCTGTGGGAACCAGATTCCCACAAAGTGCAATCTGGTTCGCCTTGCTGGTAAGTCAACAGCTCTGCACTTTTTCTACGGTTTGGAATTTATCTCAAGGAAGAATTCAAACCAAAACCAAACTTGGCTCCGGCACTTAGGAAATCTGAGTATTCAGGCAACCCAGGGATTTTGAAGTGTGAGGGGCTGCTGACAGAGTGTCTGCCTGGTTTTGCTTCCTTCAGCATGGTGGACAATGAGAAGAACACAGTTCCAATCTACATCGGTGTTTGTTTTCCATGTGTACTCGCTTTGAAAAAAAATGATTTCTGTGAGAGTCTCTCGCTTCTTAACTGCAAGTATAGTAGTTTTCTCTTCCACTGGCATGTCTTCTCTCATTTCATATGGTCTCACCCTTTCTTACTTGATGAACTTACTTTTTTACTTGATGGACTCTAACTTTTTGGCTATTTTATAGGATATCACATGCCCTTCGATCTACTAGGATGCTGCTTACTAAAGACAACTACAAAGTACAAGTACGTATTATTGTTGGTGCCCAAAAGGGAGCAACTGGGATAAACATGTATTTAAGCCAATCAGTTCCTACTCATGTCTCTTTCCTTCATTTGCTTGTGATTTTTTTCTTGCTTTTCTGGCTGTCATTTCCCCCAAACTATCTATTTTTCTTGCAAAGTAATTATGACCTTAGGGTTAACCCAGACAAATATTCAATTAAGTTTAATTGTATGAGGGACACATAAATGACAGTCAGCCTTCCTAACACAGACTGGAATTACATTTGGGTTGATTTGCATCATGTTCATTAAAGAATTTCCTGCAATGAAATGATTGAGCTAACAAGGGGAATAACTGAATGGTGATACTACAAGTGCAGATGTGGAAAGATGAATTTTAAAGAGGCTAGATTACACAGAAGATATAATTTAATAACCCAGGTTTGGAGTCAGATCAGACAAGGAAAATAACACACATTTATAAAAGGATGCTAAATTTGGGACATTTGAGATATAAAGTTAATGGGGAATTCATGAGGATCTGCATCTGGGAAGAGGTAAACAGAGCGGCAGCTTTGAACAACGTTGAGCCTTGCAAGAGGTAATTCCACTGCCAAGGCATAAAAAGGAACTTATGGCAAGAGGGCCGAGGTATCGCCAAGATTCAGTCTATGAAAAAGCCTGCACTTTAATGTGTGGATCGTTGAGAAGTTAGAACCATATTGACCTCAAGGAATTTCTGCTTCCTATTTAATTATTCTAAACAATTGAGATGAAATAATGTTTCCCTAGGAAATACTCTGCGGTGGCTCTTTACATGCTGGTGACTCATTTGGGATTACTCTTAGTGACGACATCTATTTGGGAGGAAGAATAGAGCACGGCCGGGAATAATGTTGGATTGATATGCAACAATGCCCTTCAAGGGGGGATCTATGGAGTCACAGCTGCTCAGAGATTCCTGCAAGAAGAAAAAAATGGCTCTTGGCACTTACAAAGAAGCAAGAGGAGAATGCAACTGCAGACTTCAGATGTCCAAAGTCTGGCAGCAGGGTACGGAACTGTCTTCAGAGCATCCTCATGGAGGGATGTTGAGCTAGTTGCACCGCTTGGAAAGCGTTTCCACAGTTCTGCTTGGTTTTCTTTCCTAGAGGCATATTCACAAGGCAAATCTTATGCCCCATCACTGAAGCTGATACTGGGAAAGTAAGTGATGGTCACCATAACTTTCTGCTGCTGCCCATCCACACGCCCTTCATCTCGATGTTCAGCCATTCCACCTGCTTGCCTTCATGCCTTAGAAGTCCAAGATTCAGATCTTCCATTTAGACTTTAGCTACTGCCTGGGTCTATTTATCGTAAATATGTAATGAGAAAAAAGCCCAAGCAATGCCTCAATGAATTATCCACACTATTATGTAACATGTAACAACAAACTTATCTCCATTTGAGGATGAGAAGAAAGATCTCTTTGTCAGTCCAGTGACATCTTTCCTCATCTAAAGATCTTTTAGAGACTAAAGTAAGTGGTCACACCAATTAAGTTTATTGTGATTTCTTTTTGGGATGGGATGTGGGATAGAATCATTAGGAACTCCTGAGGTCCCATCACCAATAATTTTAGGAACAGGGTATGATCATAGTTATCCACTTTAACTATAAAGACCCTAGATGCTACTTACCATTGACTTTCTATTGCTGGTGATAATTGACTAATGTCCTGCTTCCCTCTGTGCTCAGGAGGGCTCATCTCCAAACTGGTGTTTTTTTTTTTTCTTCCTGAGGTGAAAAGATCAACATGTAATTGGAACCACATTTGGAGTATGAGAAATACAGTCTTGGACACATGGATCTAATCTAATAATATTCACAGCACACCCTTGTCTATATGACAATGTAGGTACGTTGGTATGGTGGGATGTTCATGGGAATACCCTTGAAGTAGAACAGATTTCTCTGAGCACTGAAGTTTCATAAGAAAAAAGAAGATAAATTTAGGTCCCCAGGATAAATTGATTTCTATGATAATGAATTGCTCTTGTAGAGGTAGAAGTGTGTCAGTATTCTTAGTATGTTATCTAATACGAGTTTTTCTCTTCAGGGAATGGTGATGTAAGAAATTAGAGGTGTTCTTTGTTGTTTCCATATTGGACATTGTATAGTGACAGTTGCTAGATGATCCTTGGAATGTAAGAGTGTAAGCTTTTGTACCTATGCATAGCTGCCCCCCTGACATTACGCTACTCTGCTGCACTCATATGCTAAATATAGATACTGGTAAGCACAGTTTCACCAAGTCATCCCGTCTTCCTGATAGTTAATGGTCACATACATATGAGCATGTGTGTTAGCATGTGTTAAAAATATTTCACATTTCATGTGCAATCTATTGTACCACCCACAAACGTTAAGCTTTTTGTCCTTTCTTTCTTACCATATTCTTGCTATACTTTTGGCCAATGACAAATACTATGTTGCTTTAAATCTATTAACAGAGTTCAGTCATGTTTCATTCAAAGCATGTGATAAGGTACATCATTTTTGATTAAGGGATTTCCCATCATGCTTGTTTTACTTGGCAAAAGCATGGAAAAGGACAGCATTTTCTCAGAGCATCAGTTATCTATCTTCTAAAAGCTACACTGTGAAATTCAATAAAATTGCTATGCTTATTCATCTTATATCCCTTGAATCTTTAAGAATGAAAATAATTTTGCCATTTTCATCTGGTGTTCAAGAACTCAGTAGTAATTTTTGTAAACTTATTGTCTTTCTTGGAGAGACTATAGTTTCACCAGATTCTCTACTGCACTGTCTCCATCCTACATGCCATGGACTACCTTGATGATGTTGTCTAGCAATAAATTGTGGAATTTGTATACCAGGAAATTGTCCAAGAATTCAAATAACTCGCTGAAAGTTGAAGCTTGGCCAGAGGTTCATTTCTCACAAAGTTCCAAACCCTCTCTCTTTGAAAGGAATCATGATAACATTTTTTAACAGCTACTCTCAAAGTTCTTGAATGTTTTTCTTCTGAAGGGCAATTACTTGAGTAACTGTTAATAAATCTTTTGGTGGAAAGGCAAGGAATACCATTACTGTATGCATTTGGTGTAATGTTAGAGTCTTAGTTATAAAATTATTTTACCTTTCATGCAGGCTGTAAGCCCCAGCTCTGGACATTTAATAATGAGTTATAATTTTTATTGGTGCAGTCAATTATCTATACTTAATTTTTTGAGTAAAAATTGCACAATACCATATACATCTACAGCTATGAACTGACTAATTTTGTTGTCTAGCACTCTGTGTTGGACCTAGAGAGTGTGTGTTTTGATAGCCACATTTATAGCTTTTTTTTTTTCAAGTTCATACCTCTGTCTTGCATTCAGGCCTCACTAGAAGAACCGGAGTGCTTCTCTTAAGATGGTTAGATTCTTCCATTGATATCTATCAGGTGATCATATCATTTTCACTCGTGTCTATAATCGCATTTCCAAAAACAAATAGCATCTACCATCTGCCTAAACATAACAGTACCACAGATTTTTCTCCCCAATCCTACTGCCCTTTACTTGTTACCGAATATTCCTTTGCACTGGGTGATCATGTGTCACTGTGATTGGTTTGGTAAATACCTGAATGGCCAACAGCTGTGCAGGAAGAGGTTAGGCTGGACTTCTGGGAAGAGTGTGATCTTGGGGAAGAAGGAAGGTGGAATCGCCAGCCTGATGCGGAGGAAGCAGGACGTGCAAAGGAGAGATAAGAGCTATGAGCCACGACGCAGCACACAGATTAACGAAAATGATTTAACTTATAAGAGCTAGTGAGAAACAAGCCCAAGCTAAGGCTAAGCTTTCATGATCTATAATAACTTTTATGTCATGATTTGAAGGCTGGCAGTAAAAAAAAAAAAAAGCCTGCTACATTTACCCAAGCATATCCTGTCTTGACTTTTTGTTAATTGAGTGTTCTTTGGGTGAGATGAGGCATAAAACTTGTGATTCTTATGCCTTATGTATTTGATCCAGTCGTATAGCACTTCTCTGACCCTTTTTTTATATAGTCCTCCAGCATCTACCACACTGTTGTCCCATCCGTCTCACGGTGTACAAGTGATCACCTCCTTGAAAATCCACAAACAATCACTTTTCTGTCGACTCTGTCTTCTCAGATGGTGAAGCCAGGTGTCACAGGAGAGTGAGCCCACATCAGAATCAGTGTTTCTTACACAAATTTCACGTTTTTTACTCTCGATTCACGATTGTTCTCACAATTCTTGTCAGTATGTAGAACATGATACATTGGGGGGAGGTCATAGCATTTTGCTTTGCTTAGCATTCTGTTTATATCATAATTTCACTATAAGAATGGGTTTGTTGCCAAAGATTATTGATGTCAAAAGTTCTGAAGGGAGATGAATATATTTCCATACACTGGTGAATCATTTAGACTCTGAAAGCTTTGAGGAGAGCCCACAAGATGGTTTTTCCAGGTAAAGCCCTTTGCAGCCTGCCAAGCCCAGTGACCTGTTTCCCCTGTCTAGCTATCGTAGGCGGCATTTTGAAATTGTCCCAAGATTTAAAAGTTGTGGCATATATAACCCCTGTAATCTTTTTTTGTGATATAGTATACACCCGTGACTATATTGTGAAATGTCTTTCATAACTATGTTAACGATCAACTGATATTTGTGTTAATTCTTGAGATTGTATTTTAACCACATCTCCCTTCTCATCCCCCCCCCTCCAAAGTCTGCATACGTACTTCCTCACTCTGCTCCCAAATCATGACATTGTTTCTAGCTGAAGAACCCACCTGCCTCCATTTTAAGCTTAAAAGCCATTTCGTAGTAAAGACAAGTAGACTGTTCCTGTTTATAATCTTTAGTTTGAACTCTAATTTCTGCCTCTGGGTTTTTATTATTCATGGTACAACAGGGTTCTTATTTATGCCTCTGTTCTTGGGATGTGTCCTCAATGTGGGAACTTTTTCTCATAAGCTCTATTTATCTGAATTTTTAAGGCACACGACTCATATCTTCTGTTTCAGCAGTTTCTCTATTTCTCAATTATCATACGGAATGTTTAGACTTTTACTAATACATAACAAATACAAAGAAGCAGAACTCAAATGCTTTCAAACCTACTTTTCAGGTCTGACTCTTTGATGTAGAGCTTCTACCTTTCTCTTTGATCTTCCCTGTTGATTTCAGTTCAGCTTTGGCCTTGCATGGTCCAGGTGGAAAACAAAGCAAATGCTAACATTATATTGAAAGTGCTACTTGCAAGTTGATTTAGGAACCAAGAAACTTCATATATCAACTGCAGTGATGGCTCAATAGGCAGAGTTTCCTGTTTCCAAGATTGATAGCTTGTATTTATCTTCAATTCTGTGAAGCATACAGTAGAAAGAAAAAACCTAAGTCCAGCAGATTGCTCTCTGACCTCCATATGCATGCCATGGTCCAGCAACAAATTTGCATGTGTGCATGTGCGTGTGCATGTGCACATGCATACACACACACACACACAAAGCATATGTAAAAAAGACGGATCTTAAAAAGAAACTCCTTATACATTATTTAGAATCCGGAACTACTGTCTCCTAGTTCCTGAACCACTGTGCTTAGAATCAGAGATAAACAGCTAAGAATTAAGAAATAGATTTGTTCTTTCATAACTCATACTTACTTACTTGACATATGAATGAGGGTCTACTATTTTGGCTAAACAGTGACTACAACTGTAAAAGAATGCAATCATCTTGTTTTGGGCATTGTTGCATTGGAAGAAGTCATGTGATAGCGTAGTCATTCATTTTAAATATAAATCTTTTCTAAGTTAATCTCTGAAAGCATGAAGCAAAATTCCATGAGAGTCATACATAGATCCAATCTACATGAGAAGTAAAAAAAAAAAGACATAATTTCTTGAATAAATCGGGAGCATGGGGAACTTGGGAGGGAGTTAAAAGGGAGAGGCGAGACAGGGAGGGGAACAGAGAAAAATGTAGAGCTCAATAAAAAAAATAATAAAAAAATTCCCATGACTTTCTTAACCTTGCATCCTTCGTGCCTTGGAAACTGATTTCACATAGATGACCCTGCCGAGCTATTGCACAGCTCTAAATGGAGCCTGGCCCTCTTAGATCATGGTTTCATCTACTTTTGTGTGCTAATGTTCTTCTATGCAATTGTTTGTGTGGTGCATGAAATATTATTAGCTGCATTTGTAGCTTCTTGGCATGGACCTGCATATTTACAACTCAAAACCTTTTCAGTGATGACTAAAGATGTTGAAGACTTTTTCAAATACTTTAGCCATTTGTATTTATCCTTGTAAGACTTGCTTTTTCATTGAAATGCACACTAGAACTAATTAGAGATTTCACCTCATCTCAGTCAAAATGGCCATCATTAAGAATTTTTTTATTTTAAAAACAAAACAAAACAAAACAAAAAAAACCTTTGTTGGGTAAAAGATTGCCCTCTGGACAGTTTTCCTACTGATTCAGTATAACATAGGAGGGTTTTGGGTTGTTTTATTTTTTTTTTTTTTTTTACTTTTGCTATTTTTTCTCAGTTACAGTTGCTTTATTGTCTTCAGTCTCCTGTCTGAGATTTTTAACTTTGCTCACTTTTCTTCACACTCACCCAAAATCAACCCTTTATCTTTAGCATCAACTTTAGTCACACCCTCACAACGTGTGCAGAATGAAGCCTTAGCCAGGTCCTTATAGTGTCATTGTTCCCCTCTGAAATCCCATGAGCTGGCCCAGCTTCCACTGTCCGTGTTTCCCTTAGCATTTCTGTCTTCTTAGCTCTCACTAGAATAGCGATGTAACCTCTGCTTCTAGCATCATAAGACTTTATAAGCCCGAAGTTCCAAAGTTTTTACACAAGTTTTTTTTCCAAAGGCCTAAAATTAAATAGTCTGGTTTATCACACAACAGCCCCACTTGTTGGTACCAATTTCTGTCTTCGTTTCTTTGACTGTGACTATGATGAACTATTTTAGAAAAAATAAGTTAACAGAAGAAAACTTTCTTTTGGCTTATAACTCAACGATTGTCCATCCCAGTGGGAAGTCATAGTTCTAAGAACCTGAGACATTGGATAACATCACATACACGCTTGGGAACAGGGAGCAATTAGTGCCTCTTATTGCTCAGTTACTATTTTCATATCATCACACACAGTATGCAGCTTTCCACAATAATTAATGCAAAACAGTTTCTCCTATGTATGGCCAATGACTTGTCTCCCAGTTTAGTCTATGGTCTGTTATCTCGAAAATTAATATCAAGCACTATTAGTGTATGTGTGTGTGTGTGCTTTTTTTACATGTGTTTACAAGTAATTTATGGGTCTAATGTATAACAATTTAAACAATAGCATGCTGATATTCATTCATAAGTTTCTCTGGGATAATTTTTGACAATATATTAGGGATAGGATTAGAGTTAGGGTTAACAAGTCTTAAAAAACCCCTCTTTACTTTCAGTCTCTGTTGTTTCTAGAAAATACTGAGAAGCATATAAAAGGCTGTTTACTTGTGTTAACTTTTATTCACGTTTAGTAATACTTCTAGGCTTTACCTTTTCAAGTTTCTAACCACAGACAGCTTTATGTCAAATTAAATTTGGATTTCATATAAACCTGCGGATCCCTGACCATTGGCAATTCATTGCTGCCCATCCAAATGGAGAAGGGAACTTGTCAGCTCATTTGTCTAGTATCATTTACAGAATCAAAGGTTTATATTTTTAAGTGATTAAGCGTTTTGATCTAAAAGCTCTCACCGAAACGTTCAGGGTCTTTGCATCTACCAAGAACAAATTATCAAAAATGCTTTTCATCCATCACTGTTTGCATATTGTGTCCAACAGCTATGGAGAAGGAGTCCTGATTACACTCGTGAGTATTTCAGTTTTGATGATGAAGTGGAACTCATGAAGAAGATGGGCTCTGACAAATAGCTATTGTCCTGATTAATCTTAGTAAAAATGGAATCAAGACAATCAAAACATATTTCATTAACAAATGTAGACTTGGATTTCAGTAAATATGTGTGCATGCAATTAGAAGAGAATTAGTTTTGCTTTTTATTTGTGGGAAGAGACTGCGATGTATCAAACATTTCTTTAGGTGTTGTTAGGTGATTATCTGGTGATTTTGTTTTCCTTCCAGAATGAAATTCAGACTTATAATTATTACCAAAACATGCTGTCCTTGGGGAGAAACATGTGTTTCATGTTAAATGCTGAGACTTGAGGAGGAAGGGGAAAGGAAAGAAAGCCTCTCAAGTAACTCACTCTCTACAGTGTATTTGAAAATGCTGGGCTTTCTCCTTCTCAGCAAATCTTACTAACCCGTGGATCAAAATTTTATCTTAACAAAGAAAAATAGAGTTTGTAGAACAGTTTGCTTTCCACCTCCTTTTCTTGCATGACCACAGACTGAACCCTTCTCTCTAGCTGCGCTGTTTCCACTGTTTCATTCCCTGATGTAAAATTATATCATGTTTCCATTGTTTCTGGATAAACTCAAGCACAGGCTGAACCCACCATGGCTTGCTGCTTTGATCTAAGCCTCAGACAGAAATATTGTAAAATATGTGCAAACTGTCTCTTTCTCATAAAAACCAAGCTTTTTTTCTGGAGTGGATCTGGGGAGCTGCAGGCCTCCATCAGTCTACTTTTCCAGAAACCTGACAAGAAAGGACTAGCTCCAGACAATCACATAAATAAAGGGGCGTTCATAAAGACTTGGGCTTGTCTCACCCTCCTGCAAATTCTGATTTAGCATTTTTCCTAGAACTATTCCCATGGGTTTGTAGCTTTTATGATTTTTGTTTTCCTTTTCTACGTCTTAACATCACTGACATTAGTTTAAATCGTTTAATAACTCCATTGAATTCTGACCAATCTAAAATGTAAACGAACAACTAAATAATTCCCTAAGTTCAAAATTGATCCGTATGGCTTTTTAATATTGTCCTTATCTGGCATTAAATACGTTTAACCTAGTCACAAAGGGCAGATTCTGAGGTTGGATTTAGGACACACATGGGACATTTGAATTAGTTCTACTTCTATTTTGTCTCTGAAAACATTTGGAGATACCATAAAGATTATCTCAAATCCTCAGAAATAGGCTACATCTTACTGTCACCTCATGTATGAAATGCTCTCTGCCCACTACCTCCTGAGCTTCCTACCACAGACGCAATATTAAAATCCACTTTTCAAAGTAAACTTTTAAACTTTACAGAATTTATTCTTTGATAATTTTATCCATGTAAAATGCATTCATTGCTTATAACCCTACAGATACTCTAGTTTTGTTTTTTTGTTTGTTTTGTTTCTACCCTTATTTCCCCTCCTCCTCTCTATACGTCTCATTCCAATTATTATTTATTTATTTGTTTGTTTGTTTATCTCACTCTGTGACCCACTAGGGTTAACCACGATCATCCGTCTCACCATAGGTTAAGAACTATTCATTGGAAGCTGTTGAGTTCTGTAATAGTTATACAAATGAAGATAGTAACTGTTTCTTCCCCCAGAATCCATATGCTACTTAAAGTGTTCAACAGACAGGGTAGAGTCCTTTGTGATCCCTTCCTGGTTGACTCTAGGTTGTGTTGAGTTGACAATAAATCCTAACCAAGCAATATTCAGCCCTCATCGAATTGCTGCACAAACACATCGCTGCTAAGCCATAATCTTTCCTTTCCTCTTGGTTGCCAATCTCATGTCATATCATAATAAATAATATAATCAACCTTAAGAGTCTCACAGTCTTTTGAATTTCAACCGTTTAAATGTTCAATTTCTCTTTTAAAGCCTCTTAACTTTTGTATTAATAAAATGAGGGGGAGAGAGAGAGAGAGACAAACACTTAAATATGCTAAAAGGGAAAAATACAGATGTAGGAGCACTTAGCAGTATAAATAAAACCCTGTATCTCTCAGTGTCTTGCAATTAAGACTCAGTTCTTATGTTCTGAGCTCCCGAAGGCTTGGATAGCTCATTTCACTGAGTCTTCCACCCACAGCACACATAACTAATCTCAAAAGTTCGGGATGGCTCTACTTTGTCTTTTACTTGCCACTGTCTTTAGTAGACATCCCATGGTCATAACATACCCAGCATTCTGAGGTCTCCACTGCACCTGAGGTGGCACCTTTTTCTTACCAATTGGCCCCTGTGAGCCAATCAGTGGGACGGCCAACCCTGTCCTACAGTGAGAAGCATAATGCTACCCGTGATGCCCTCTTGCATACGGAAGTTTCATGCATGTCATTTGTCATCGTCTGCTGATAACTTGGTGTGTACGCTGTACACCCCCAAGCCACAGCTTCTGAGTGCTGACCCCGAAGAAACACTTCTCAGTGCACTTCACTGATGCCAGTCCCTTATTAACTGTAGCTGAATTTTCAGCATAGAGTACAATATTTCATTGTACTAGAAAAGCACAGAAGTTTTTCTTTCTACTGATTTTTTTTTTCGGGGGAAACAGTGTCTTTATTCTAATTCTGTTCATAAAGCACCAAACTATATAATTTACAAATGGTAACCTTCATTCTTTAGAATAGGAAAAAAAAACATTGTAATGAAACCATCCCATCCATTCACCGAAAACAGATAATTCAGGCATATAAACCCATTAAAATGCTTGAATACTAAACTTACAAGTGAACACCTAAATGTGTACATTAGTGGTAGGAATGCTCTTCTCAGGGAGGTTCAATCGTTACAACACAAATAACACAGTTATGCTTCCTAATTAGTTCAGGCTTATTCAGCTACCACTGAGCATTTAAAAAACCTTCACATGTGCTCAGTTGAGGTCGGAGACTTCTGGAAAGGCAGATCCCTTGTACTTGTGCCTCTGTTTCCCTTTATATTCTCTAGATATCTTCCTTCTGTAGGATATAATTCCTTGTTCCATTTTTTTTGCAGTCTTCAGTGGTGTCCTCCAGCCTTTAAATATTCATCCCAGGAAGGTGCAGATTCCTGAATGTATGAGCCGTCTACTGATTTTTAACTAGAAATATCATAATAATGGCCCCAACAGAGTCTTTGCTCCTCTCTGAATCTTCAAAATCTAGGCCCCAGTTTCATGTTTCTTTCAGCATTCTTAGCTTCTAATTCCCCATAGAACAGGTTCTTAAGTTCTAATCACAAAATGGATTTTCTAGCCTAAAGCAATAAAGTACTCCAGAATTCTCCCTAAAACCTGTATAGTCAAGTTCATTATAGAAACAACTCCACTCATGGTACCAATTTTTGCTCTATTATATTTTCTAGTCCTGTGACAAACAGTGCCCAAAAGCAACTTGAGAGAGGAGGCATCTTGTTTCATTTAAATTTCAAGTTAATAGTCCTAATAACTAAGACAAATTAAAGCAGAAACTTAAGCAGGTGCAACTTACCTACCACAGAACTTAACAATCAAGCCAATTATTCACAGAAAAGGCCACAGGCCAATATGACCTAGGAAATTATTCAACGAAAGGTTCTCGTTTTCAAGTTGACTCTGAGCTATGTCAAATTGACAATCAAAACTATCTAGCAGACTAGACTGACTTCTAATATTTCACCAATCTCTTCTTCTCAACTCCCCTTCTATATTTCCTTTTGCTCCAAACTTTCAGCATATTCCTGTTCCTAGTCCATGATACCCAGTGCCTTCCATAGCATTACGGTAAGCTAACCTTTCCGATTACTTTTGCCTCTGGGGTCCTGTGAAAAAGGAGATGGAACTTGGGGGTCTCTAATGAAAGAATGAAAATTGCATGGGAGAATGAATTTAGTTACTTCTAGTGATTTGGCTCCAAAGTAGCCTTGAGAGAATAATATTCATAAGGTCCTTTAGTACTACATCAGTATCCAGGTGTTTGGTAGATTTCTTCTGATTTTGTTGTCAAACTGTGGAGTTAAACGTCAGGGTAATAGTGTGGCATGTCTTTAAATTATACACAAATGCTTGTCTCATAAATCATCTCAAATTAGATTTGTCTCCAGTTTTCTTATTGCCTTTCACAAAAACATAACATCAACTACATAAGCACATGGACATAGTCTTATTTGAATATGTCTTTGATGTTCCCCACAAAAACTCATATATTAGAAAATTAGTTCACATTGTGGTAGTATAAAAAAGTGGCAGAATCTTCAAGAACCAGGTCACTAGAGGTCTTGTCCATTGAAATACTTAGAGATCATTGCAGAGTGATTTAGTGATGTATAACCTGATTAGTTTTGGTCTCTGATATTTTGCTTCTCTGCGTGCTCTCTTCTATAGTTTATGAGGCCCTTACTATGGCTAAAGAGGAACAGCAGCTTTACTCTTGTACCATTAGAACTGTGACCTAAGTAAACCTTTTCTTCATGAATACTAAGCCTCTAGCATTTTGTTACAGTAATGGAAAAATGAACTAACAAGAAATTGCTGTAAATACAATTCTGAGGTTATTATTTTATTCATATTGGACATAAAAACAAAATTGCATGGCATTGATAATTTTATTTCAAAAAAGCACTCACTGAGGAGCTGGGAATTTGCTGGTGTGGGTAAGATGAATACAGTGTTATACCACCCAGAGGCATGTGTGTTTTAAATGAAAAGATTGATAATACAGTTAACACAAGATGACTCAAGCTCAAGTAAGACCAAGCATGGTAATAAGTCCCTTGATGGAGTCTTATTTAGCTCAACAAAATGCTCTTTGTCTTGCTGAGATTTCTATACTTTTAAGGATTATAGAAGAAACGTTGAATGTGTCAGTTTCCTTCGCCTCTCTTCCAAGTCATTGATGATCTATATCACCCCTATTCTTTATATCTCAATGACGTCCATGTTCATGTTAAAGAAAAAAATCCATTAGTTATGTCATGATCTTTCTCACAAGATGTTAACACCCTGATAACAATGACTCTGGACCATTTGTCCTAAGCAAAAGAAAAATCTATTCCTTTAAGACATTGAATGTTCAATAATATAACTCTTCTAATGGATACAAACTAATTGTGTTTTGATTTTATATATATGCACACTCACATGTATTATCAAGTACACACACACATATACACACACTGCCATTTCTGTTCTGCCTCATTTAAAGCACATTCTCTATATTCCTCCTTAAAGAACAAGACAGAAAAGAAATAGAGGGTGGGCTGATTTACCTCAGGCGTATCTACTTTAGATTCGCATCCAGACTTTTGTCTTCCACTTCCAAATGAAGGAGAAACCTTGGAAACTCTGAGAAAACAGGATGAGGAGAAAAGTGACGACTGCAGAGGCATGCAATGTTACTTTTGTGGTTGGCATTATTGACTAGCAGAAACCAATGACACAGCCCACAACCAATGTTGGAGCCATCAAAAGCCCCAAACTAGGGCATATCCCAACTTTTTGGAACTCAAAATTCTGCCATCTCATCCCCAAAGTTCCAGAGTGTACTCCTTGTTATAGGACTGTGGGATCTGCCAGTTGTCAGTCTGCTGTTTATAAATCATCTATTCCATGCCTGGCTTCGGGGAGGTGAGCAATTCTACAAAAGAGAACTCTGAGGGCAGTTAAAATCCAGTGCTGGCTAACACTTCAAGCTGAGGTTCTCACAGCCAAAAGCATGGACAAGAAAGGGTGGATCTATAATCAACAGGAAGGAACATAAATGTCTGAGCTGCAGTGCTCTAGGACAGCTATTGGTTATAAAAATACAGAGTACAGAGCTGGGTCAGGATGCCTGGGAGATGGGGACCTAGGTTTAAGATAACTGTGTATGAGGGGAAAGTAATAGAGAATGCAGATCCTCTTTTTCTTTTGTGTTATGAAAAGTACATTACTTAAGAATGCTACCCTGAGAATTCAGGGCATACGTGTTAGCCAGAGGTAAAGAAGGAAATCAGTTTATTTCATCTTATGCAGAAGTGCAGCACCCTTGAAGTTTGCCATGGGCTTAGATCTTTAAGATCTTGTCTTACTCATAAAGAATTTGGCTATAGATAAAAAGTGGCCAGAGAGTTGAGTAAAAGCTTAATAGGTTGGCATTTATTTTTTCAAGCCTTCGTTTAACTTCTGGTCAAGGAAATCCCTGTAGGAAGGGCAGGGATCTAAAGGTAATGGGCTCAGCAGACAACCAAATGCATCATTATTTTTTTTCTTGTGGTCATTAGGGCCGGCAGCCAAACTCCTGGAGGTCTTAAAAGTGAAATGTTCTCACACAGCTATTTTCCACTGAATTTGTCAGAGAGAGAGACAGAGACAGAGAGACAGAGAGAGACAGAGACAGAGAGACAGAGACAGAGAGACAGAGACAGAGAGATACTGATATTGATATTATTAAAACTATGTCTTAACTTTGTGGGAGAAGAAAGGTTAAGAGCCAGTATACATTCAGTTCTTGACTCTCAGAACATTCTGTCATTCAGCTGAGTGTCAACATTAAAAAGAAATAAACCTGGAAGACTCTTATATTGAAGTTTGGATTTGACATAAAGGCGATTGCTTCTGATAGTTTTGCCAAAAGTTCTTGATCAAGTATTTATTCAAGTATCTGAAGCACCAGTTTATATTTGAGAAGTCAATACCAGAAAGCGAAGCAGGGAAAGAGCTATAATCACCTTTTCATAAGATTCCTAAGCCCCCCAACTCTTGTGTTCCATGGAACAGGATTTGCTACCTGTCCCAACAAAAGAACATTTGAAGGGATGATTAGTGGTGAATACAGAAACAGAATTTGGATTAAGTGTGTCATAAGTAGAGAGAGTTCAGAAGTCTAGACAGTAACTGGAAGTATTAGGGGCTGATAAATAGCACTTTGGTAACACAGCCTGGGTTGTAGGCGGGAGATTCTTAAGGGCATAGTCTGCTGGCCATGACCTCAGCATTAGTCACACAAGACCTCATCAATAATGAGGACGTTGTTACTGCTTAGTGGTAGGTTTAATTCATGTCACAACATACGTACTTGACTTTCTGTTCCTGGAGTCTAAAGTAATTGCAAGAAATGAACTAAAGTAAGAACAAGTCAAAAAGGCAAAATAGAGACAGAGATAAAAGGAAGGCTAAACACACAAAAGAGACATATAATATAAATGCAAAGATGCTGAGATTTTTTTTTTGCTGAGATTTTTTTTATCCTCTTTTCTGTTACCTAGAACACAGAGCAGGTCCAAATATACTTTTCTCTTTCCACCTGTGAGGTCAGGAATTGAATTCAAATAGTTGATTAGGTTTAATCACAAGTGCTGTTACCTGCTGAATCATTTTACTGGCTTCATTGGTAGGAAATACGCTAAAACAAGAACCTGAACAAATAATATGTAATGCAAAACTAGGTACTTAGCACGTTTAAGTTTGTAATTAAGAAACCACACACGAGAGAGTTAAGCAAGAGGAGAATACCTAATTCTAATTTGCTCTACCTCAGAGAATTATTTTTTTTCCTAAGCACTGATAGAAGGAAGAATATGGCAGAATGACATCACAGACTTAGAAATATCAATTTTGGGGGCTTGAATTTGACCAGAATAACAACAGAATCTTACTAGTCAAATAGCATTGAATATAACTCAGAACTCCCTTTTAGCCTCCTGTTCTGGTGAAGCTTCAAAAACTCACTGGGTAAGAGGCAGGAGTTCTTGCAAAGTCTACAGAGGGAAAGCTTTAAGGTCACAAGTATTTTTTTAAGCCTCCCAGTTATGGGGAGACATAGTCTCAACTGGCCATCTCCTGTCACCAAACAGCTTCCGATACTGGAACTGGGTTATGCTGAATTGAGTTGTGGGCCCCATGGGAGTCTGCCAAACAACTCAGGCCATTGTTGAGTCACAACACCCTATTGCTGACGACAATGCCTACACAACTCATTGAAGATGGAAATATTGAGCTAGTGTTTAAATAGAGCCTTCACCCTTATGTCCTAGTATCTCATGTACCACAAGGAATTCTACAGGCTGCCAAAAGAGACATGCACACACCAAGCCAGTCACAAACCTTTTGTTGTACATTGCTGTAAGAAATCCTACAACCAGTAGCCTTTAAATTACTCACCCACTGAGTGTGGCCTCTTATCCTACTTATGCCAATATAAAGCATGTGTCTAGCCTCTGTTCCGACTGCGGGATTCGGTTGTTGTTCTCCGTTCCAGCAGAGGATATTAATTTTTGACTTTACCCCTAAATATATACTCATCTACTATCCTCAATTCTGAGCTAGTATGGGATTTCCTTTTAGCATCCTTCTTCAGTACATTGGTGTACTGCCTCTGAGATAAACTAGCGCAATGGTGGCACAAAGCCTGGGGGAGTAACCAATAAATAACGGATTTGATTTAAGTCCTACATTATGAGATAGAAGCCATGCCTGACATTGCTTGGGTACCAAGAACCTGAGACCAAACTTTCTAGAGACCAAAGGTAAAACCAAGTAATACCAGTCAAAAAAGAGTTTTTTTTTTTTTAAAAAAAAAAAAAGTTGTGGTAAAATGTCTCCTATTGATTTTCTGCTATATTCCTAGACCAGTGCCTTGTTCAGCCATCATTTGAGAAGTCTCCTCCCAAAGCAGATGGGAGCAAATATAGAGACCCACAGCCAGACATTACAGAGAGAGTGAGAGACAGTGGAACACTTGGCCATAAATGGGATGTCTCCATCAAATCCCTCCGCTCACAGTTCAAAGAATTCCTCAGAAGAGGAGGAAGAGAGTGTAAGAGTCACGGGAGGAAACAAAGAAAACAAGGCCCTCTAAATCAACATAATCAAAATTAATATGAACTCACAGGTTCTGAAATAGCATAATAGCATGCATAGGACCTCCACGGGTCTGTAAGCAGGCCCTCTGCACTTATATTTTGGTTGCCAGTTTAGTGATTTTATGGGATTCCTGGGTGCACAAATGAATAGGTCTCTGCTTCTTATGCCTTCTCTATGGTTCTTTTTCTTCTGTTCCTTTGCCTTGTGCAACTTTGATGTGATAGTTTTTGCTTTTGTTTTGTTTTATTTTTCAAAGGAATGAATGAATGAAAATCTAACCAGTATCATAAAAGTTAATAATGTAACTGTCATTTATCCCTGATGGAAAAGGGAAATCCGTTTTCTCCAATGGAGTGACACCGGCCATATCTACCTCGCCAGGGAAGGTTCCATGTTCAGGAGTAGTTGATGAACATACAGTGGACTCCACAGGTCTTTTTGTTTGTTTGTGCTTTTATTTAGTTACAGCTTTGTGGGTTTTTGTTTGTTTGTAATAGGTTTTCTATTCCTCAGTAGTAGATTTCCCCACCAACAGTAGGTCCATATTAAGCCAAATTAGATGATGCGCTTGACAAACTGCATCTGTGTCCAAGTATGGTCAAAAGCTGACCACTTTGGGTGGATACATGGGCTGTTGACAATTTCAGAGGAAGAGCTGACACGGCCGCTGAGAATGCAGAACTGGGCATTTTGGGGGCTTTTCTTTGTTGGAGATTCTCTGAGAAGGTGGGGCTTGGAGAGACCCACAGCCAGACAAGGAATGGGGCTTTCTGGATCAAGCAGGAGTGAACTGGAGATTCCAGATGA